AGGGATAGGCACGTACTTGCCTTTCTCAAATACCACTCTAGCCACAGTGAGAAAGACAGACTGGTAGGGGAGATGAGTAAGGAAGCAGCTTCAGAAGACCCAGGAGCAGATGCTGGTGACTTGGAGCAGGTGCTGAGGGTGTAAGTGGGGAGAAGAGGATGAAGCCAAGATATTTGGAAGTAGATGTGACGCATGTGGCTGTTGATTGGAGACAAGTCCTAAGGGCGGTGTAAAGACAGCCCTGTGTGTCTCCCTTGGATCATAGAATTGGCACAATTCATAGGGAAGAAGAACTGGTCAGAAGAGTGGGCAACCTTGAGTTTGGGGTTGGAAACTTGCAGTTTTAAGGACCTTTGAGACATCCGAGTAAGCTGCTGGGACTGACCAGCAGCAAGCAGAGAGGTCAGTATGAACGTGCAAACTTGGGAGTCTGCAGCATAGACGGTAAGTAAGCCGCTGGCTGTGAATAGACCACTAAGGAGAGCGGAGTGAGAGGCCCAGTACGGCTCCGGAAAACTGCAACACCAAATGGCCAAGAAGAGGGTCATAGAGGGGCTTACCAGTGTTTTCAAGGACCTGGCCTCTTTCTCTCTCCCTCCTCAGCATATTAGCCTCTCATTCTTGGGCTGGTTGCTTCATGGTCGCAAACTGGCTGCCACAGCTCCAGGCTTAACATGTCCCCACAACCACATTCCATCAAGGAGAAGAGCAGACCTCCTCCTCATCTCTTCTTTATTAGGGACCAAAACCCTCCCAGGGCTATCTAGCAGAGTCCCCTTACCTTTCATTGTCAAGACCGGCAATCAGCAAATGTTTTCTATAAAGGGCCAGATAGTAAATAATTTAGGTGTTGGTCTCTGCAGCATAATCATTTTGTGTATGTGGCTTTTTTTTTTTTTTACAACCTTTCAAAATGTAAATACCATTCTTAGCTCATGGTCTAGAACTATTTGCATGCCTAATGTATAGCGACCTCCAACAAAGGGAGAGCTCACTTACTGTAACTTGGCTTTGACCAATCACCCAAAATTGGTATTCCAGAAACATCTGCCAGAGCTAGGCAGCACTTGCCACTGTCAGGAGCAATCCAACTCCACCTGCCCTGCAGGGAAGACTGGCTGTTGGTTCTTGCATTCCCAGGAACCTCTACAAAGCTGGGGCCTGCTGCTCCCCTCATAGGCCAGTACAGAGGGATGCATATCCTAATTCAAGATTCTTCTGGACTGTTCATTAACAACCAGGCTTAAAGCGCCCCCTTGTGCCTTTAAGGTGAACAGGGGACTGGAGGTGTGTACTAGAAGCTGCAGGGAATCCCTGCCAGGGTTTTAAAAACTATTCCAGGAGACCTGCCAGTGACGAGCACCCATCAGGCACTTCCCCCATGGGCTGTAGTCTGGTGCTGTGAGGGAAGCACATGCGTTCATGCAACTCACAGGGTGAGGACCCGGAAAAGAAAGAGACAAAACCTCTGCCCTCACAATGCAGAAAGCATGTCCTGGACAGATAAGCATAAATAAATAAGCAGATAATGGCAAAGGGTGCCACCGTGAAGCCTAAGAGGGGGTCTGTCTAGACAGATGACCAGGGCAGCTGCACTCCAGGGACCTCATGTGTGGCCTGATGGGTGAGAAAGGCTGATCCATCTCAGGTGCCCCCAGGCACTCTCCTGAGAGCCAGATTAGCACATGCAAAGGTCCTGAGGAGCAGAGAGTTGGGAATCTGAAGGGAGACAGATGCGTGCTGCTGTCAGGGGAGGACCAGGTGGAGGAAGGCACTGGGGTGAGGGGAGGCAGTAGCAGAGGCCGGATCATGAGGGTCCCCAGGGGCCCTGGGTTGTACTTTCCTCTAAGAACAATCGGAAGCTGTGGAAGGGACTTTAGAAGAAGACTTGATTTGACACTTTTAGAATTAACATTCCTATCATTGTTGTGAAGCTTCGTGTGTTAACCAATGTGCCTGAAACACCATTCCAGAATTACCATTCCTTTGGGGCATGAAAACATCACACTTCTCCTCCTCCAGTCACCTCCCCATGGCCCCTGGGTCTGCCCTGAGGGCGAGCTAATGTCTAGGTCACTCCCCATCAGACCCACAGAAGCGCTCTCCCTGCCAGCTGCCCCTACCCCCCGCCATGACCCATGCCAGCCTGTCCTCCTCCTGGGGACTCTGCTCACATGGGACGCTCTGCAACCATGCCCCTCCACAGCCTCTTGAGAGAGGCAAGGACACCCTGCGGGGAGTGGGAGGTGGAGGGGCCATTCTTGATGAGACCCTGACCAGCTCCCAGCTTCCCTGTGGGGACTCAGGGCCCTCCCAGCCTCCCCTGGGTGGTGACAGCCGTGGCCGACACACACTGCAGGAGCCGGAGGCTGTGCAGGGAGGACACTGGGGGCATCCTGTGCCCACCCCCTCATCCGTTCCCCTGAAGGCTGCTGTCTGCCCACCTGTCTGCCTCACTTTGGCTTTGACCTGAAAGTGCAGGTGAGGAGCAGAGAAAAGGCACCCGTATCCCCTTCTGGCCGTGCTGTCCCACAGCAAAGTCACTTTCCAGGCCAAAGAACCAACTGTTCTCCAGTAGCTTTTGCTCTTCACACTTCAAGCCGAGTGAGCAATTTACAACTGGGTGAAAAGGGAAATAATCTGCCTGCTGAGGGATGGTTCTGTATATATATTTTCCAAGCAATTGTTTGAAGGATATTTTTACCAAAGTGACTTTCTTTGTAAGGTGATATGTCTAAGAGAGAGGAAAGTGTATTTCTAAGGCATAACAGTGCAAACACTTCAACTTACTAGCTATGTGGGCATGGTCACAGGCTCCTCCCGTACAACAGACTACTAATCTTACCTGCTCACCTGACCAGGTCAACGCGCAGCTGAGCCTTCAGAGGTAGAGATGGATACTGGAGGCGCTTCGTTAACCACAGGGCTGTGCAGTCAGGTGAGGAGCAGTAGTAATTCCTCCCACTGGATCTCATGGTCGGTGTTTGCCATGAAGACACAAAGGAGTCTGATTTGACCCCCAGGCACAGGTGACTAGGTGAATGCTGGGTGGGATTTTGTTCAAAAGCTCATAAAACATCTTGTAGGAGGGGCACCTTTTCTGATGCCCGCCCAGGTGCCTCAGGGGTAGTTGGGAGCCTGGGTGTCCAGCCCCAATGTTCTTGCCCTTCCCCTGGGTCTCACCTAGAGCCATGGCACCCATGAGTCCAGATCCTGGCTTGACAGGGGTCAGGGATGAATGAACTCATGCTACCAAATGCTGAGGCTCCTTCTATACAAGGTTGCAACAGGTGAGTGAGAAATTTTCTTGATAATTTGAGTGCCTAGAACATCACTCGCATCCCAAGGATGCGCTCCGTGGAAAGGCAAAGATGCTGGTTTCCTGATGAGCACAGAATCATCTCCACGGAGCCAGGGGTGGTCTTTACAACTAACGGCATTGAGCTACCCCAACTCAGGGATCTACTGGCCACGGAGACACTCTTCTCCCAACAATGGTGGCTGAATATTGGAAATTCACCTTCACCGATGACCCTAAGTTTATGCTCCTTGTGCTGACTTTTTCTTCTCTTCAAGTATTTTTATTATAAATAACTCATGCATTAAAAAAGCACAGAAGAAAATATAGCTAATCCCTCTGTACTGGTCACTTGCCAAAGAAATCAAACATTTCAGACACAGCGTGCACCCAGATGCTTGTCTGCACTGTAGTCCTCCCCACCTGCTTGCCCGAAAGTGACCACTACACTGAACCTCAGGCACAGTGTTTCTTCACATGTGTTTATAATTTTACTACATATGTATGTATCCACCAAGTATCCTTGATTATGTTACCTGTCCTTAAATAGTGTATTAATGATATCCCACCAATTATACCTTTATGCTAATTACTTCTTAATTCAATGTTGTCTTGGGAGATTACTCATGTTGATACATGTCATTCTGCCCCATCCATTTTTCAGTCCTGTGTAATATTCCATTGCAGGAATAGTCCATAATTTATCTAGTTATACTCCTAATGGGTGGATATTTAGGCTGTTTTCAATTTTCCCCAATTACGCGCACTGCTGCAGTGGACATTTCTGAGCACATGTCCCTACACATCCATGTAAGGGTGTGCCTAGGATACACGCCAAGGAGTGGAATTGCTAGGTCTGAAGAATGTGCACCTTCAGCCCTAGGTGATATTACCAGTCATTCCTTGATCTGACTGTTCAGTCTATTCTCCTACCGGCAGGATGTGTGGTCTCCTTTCCCTCTTCTTGTCAACCCTGCCAATCTAATGAATGGGGAATGGTATTTCATTGTTGTTTTAATTTCTGTTTCTCCTATTCTAGATCTGTGACCATTATACTTGTTTATTGCAGACACCAGTTCCTCTTCTGCTAATTACCTTGGTATTAAGGTAATAAATTTTCCTTGCTGCCTAAGCTGGTTGAGTCAAGATGCTTGACTACTTGTGAATCGAAGCTGTCTGGCTGGAATATCCATCTCTGGAGCTGCAGGCTGTTCCTGTTTAGGGCAAGAGATGATACACCTCTAAGGTCATTCCTCAGAAGCCCTGAGCCCAGAGAGACTGCACTGACTTTTCCCAGCCCTGATGCTGCCTTGTGTCCCTGCCCCAAAACCACCACGGCGGGATCAGTTGTTCCCAGCATCACTGTGATTCTCTTTATCTCCTTAACAGAGTCCAAGACCCACAAGCTGAGGCCCTAAGGCTACTGATGGGCTTAGAACAGGGGAAAAATTAATGCTAACACAAATAAGATCCCTTGGAGAAACTGGCATTCCCATGCAGTCGTCTCATGTGGGGTAGTTTATCCCTGTGCAGAAAGAGGCAGCCACAAAGATGCTTTCCATGGTGTCATTTGGAACAGAAAAAATAAAAATAAAGCATAAACAAACTACCTAAATGTCTCTAAACACCAAATCAGGGTTTGATGGAAGAAGAAATGGTACAGCCCTCCATGGAATGTACCTCGAAGCCATCCCAAGCCATTTGCAGAAGAGTACACAATGTCAGGAAAGGTTCAGGAGTCTGAACTTGGCATCCATGGACTCCTGATGAGATGCTTCTGGCAGGGACTCGGCATCTCCTGGGCCCCACACCCGCCTCACGGAAGCTGGACTTCTGGCAGGGAGGGCAGGGACCCTCGCAAGCTCCCTTGATGGTTCTTACGCATACAGGCACGTGAGAGTCAGTGGCAGGGGGACCCTAAAGCAGGACGAAGCAGGCTGGTATAGTAAGAGAACAAGAGCAAGTTACACGCAAATTCAGTGTATATAAAAACCAATCCCATTCTTGTGTGTGTGTGTGTGTGTGTGTGTGTGTGTGTGTGTGTGTGTGTATGTGTGTGTGTGTGTTCTAACAGGTACCTATGTACCAAAAATTAACAGCGATTCCCTCTAGATCACAATTTCTCAACCTGGGCACTAACATTTGGGGCTGGATAATTGTGGCGGAAGCTGTCCTGCGCTTCGGGGGACGTCAAGGAGCAACTGCCCACCAGGTGCCGGTAACACCCCTTAGCGTAACAACCAAAACTGTCAGACAGTGTCTCCTGGGAGACAAGATGGCCCCAGGTCAAAAATCACTGCCTGAGATGGAAGGTGTGATAGATGATATTTTACTTTGTTTTTCATCTATCTGCCCATTTTTTTTGTTTTTTCTTCCCTAAAATGAATATAAAATATGTTAGTTGTGTAAAAAAATTGGTGTTTCTCATTGCTTATGCTGTCAAAAAAAATACACTCAGATGAAAAGATGTTCACATTAGTATTTACAGTAAGTAAACTAATTTTATTATGATTTTAAAATAATTTTGGAAAAGCACATACAAAGTCCTCCCAAATGTCAATATTCCTAAGAGCTTTAAAACACGTACAACCTTTGGAAGGGGCATCCTGATTTTAAGTATGTATCTTAAAGAAACAGTGCTAAATATAGGAAATGCTTCACAAATATAGTTGATTTTTGCAGAGTCATTTATGAAAACAAAAAGCTTAAATACTCTAAAACCAGCAATAGGAAACCAAGTTAATTATGGTGCATTCACTTGATAGACTATAAAACAGTATTAAAATATTTACAAAGAGTTTATAACAGTATAGGGGAAAGGTTTATACCATACTGTTAAAGAGAATGGATACAAAGTTGAATATGTGGCATCATCACTGGCAAGAATAAAAAGAACCCTGTGCATACACATGACTAAAATAATACACCAAAAGATGGTAAAAGTGGTTGTCAATTGAACAATGGCATCCTGGGTGATTTTTTTTCTCTGTACTCTTTTGAAATGTCCAAATTCTCTACAATCAACATGTATGTGTGTATAGTCAGAGAGAGAACAGTAAACTTTATTTTTAAAAAACACTTCAAAATCATTAGAAACAAACATGTCAAAATTTCAGGTAAGAAATATGTCTTCCTACTGCTCTCTACGTAGATTTGCATCCAGATGCTAAAAATAACTTTGTTCCAAAAATTAAACATATTCAGAGAGTGCAACATACAATAAATGCGACTGTATCTACGTTTCCCAGCTCTGGGAAGAATAAATTTTAAGGGTAATTACACTACATGTGGTCAGAAAAAAGTAGTACATAGAAACACGGTAACAGAAACTGATTCTTATGAAAAACAACCTGAACAGGGTTTTGTTTTCCAACCTGGGATCACATTCTTCTAAAACAGAAGGAGATAAAATGATCAGGGTTTGCTCAGAATTAACAAACCAAGCACAGATTTCAGCAGCCTCACCGAGTTTGATCTAACTTGTTTACATTCATCCAGGGAGATGGACACTTCCCGCTCACAGTGACAACCACAGTGACCACGGACAAAGGCGGCCTTTCTCGCATTTATAAGGCAGTATTTGCCCAAGCCAACCATTCCCAGGTGGCTGCAGTGAACCCTCTTGTTAGCTCGCTGTTCGGTCTTTCATGCGGACCCGGACTATATCTTACAATAGACCTCAAAGAGCGACGCAGCTGCGTGCATCCGGTAGAAAATAGAAAAGGGCATGGCCAGGTTGACCACAATTATCCAGGGCTCAAAGCCAAAGACAATCTCCTCCAATCCGTTGTCGTACTCGGGGCGGCAGCCGAAGGCGGGAGGGATCCAGAGCTGCAAGAAAAGAGGGGACGTCCCAGCAGCCGCCCAGGAGGCTGACGCAAACCTGGGGCGCTGTCCGGACTCGGGCCTGCCCACGGCCACCACGGTGACAAGCAGCCCTAGCCCCTGAGCCTTCGATCCTTCCCTCTTCCTCAGCGCCCCTCCAGAATGAACGCTGCCCAACCCCGTCTGATCCCCCCACCCCTCTAGCGCTGTCCTTGGTGGGTCCTCCGCATCCCTGACCTGACCGGCTCAGCGCCTCCCAGGGCTCACCCCATCCCAGGGGGCGCCTCAGATCCCCGCCCAGTGTCGGTGTGGGACGGATATTTACAAAGGAGACACCTGACCTAGTCACCCTCTCTGTTTGTCACTCGCCATTGGCTCCCACTGCCTTCAGCAGAAAGTCCAAATTCCCTAAGAGACAGAGCATCACCCTCACCTCCATGGCGCCCCCAATGCCCTTCACTCCAGCCTCCCCGGGCTGTGCACAGTCTCCAAGAGTGCCTTTCTCTCCCGAGTCTTCAGGGATTTGCTTCTGCCTCTCCCTGTTTCAGGGACTCCCTGTCTTCCTTCTAGTGCTAAATCCTACTTTTTTCCAAGTCCTGAGACACCACTTCTTCCAGGAAGCCCTCCTTGATCTAACTAGTCCAGGCAGGGACTCCCTGTGTTCCCACAGCCCCCTGCATTTACCTACAGTGGAAGTCACCTGCTTACCACTCCTGCCTTTAGCTACCAACGCTCATGCTTGGAAATCCTGGCCACGTGCACCTGGGCTGGTGCATTCCGTGGTCTCCTTTCTGGCTCGTCCTCGGCATAGAGAATAGCACACAACCCCTGACTAGGGAGGAACCCATGCTTTGGAGCCAGACCTGGGTTCCTGCCCCTGACAGACTGTAACCTCGCCTCTCCAAGCTTTGGTTTCCTCATCTGTAAGGTGGGAACCAACACCTGTCTCAGAGGGCTCTGATGAGACGAAATGGCAACTAAGTTTCTAAAACCCAAAGCAACAACCTATTATTCTTGTTGCTCATGGAACCTGCACACTGGTCCCCTTCTCAGTCTCCTGGCTCCAGTCCCTCCTCCACCTCCCCTTAAGTTTTGGGGTCCGTAAGCCTGCTTCTCTTTCACACTGCACACTTCTGCAGGCAGATCTTGGATGACCCCAGTGATCCCACCTCTTGGGGCATCACAGCCTTGAGAAGCCCCCTCCCCTTGGGTGTGGCCTGAACCTACAGACTTTCTTGTAACAAACAGAGTATGACAGAAGTCATGGGATGTCACTTCTGAGATTAGGCTACAAAGACTCCAGAGTCCACTCCTACGAGATTGGAAGTCAGCTGCCACACCGTGAGCTACTCTACAGAGAGGCCACGTGACCAGGGAGTGAAGGGGTTTCAGGCCAGCAGCCAGCAAGGAGCTCAAGCCCTCAGCGCAACCTGCCAGGAACTGAATCCTGCCAACAGCCACGTGAGTGGGTTTGGAAACAGATCCCCTCCCCCACTCCTATCCAACAATCACGTCTTGAAAAGACTGCAGCCCTTGGGGGTGGCTGGTGGGGGACCCTGAGAGCAGAGGCACCCAGCTAAGCCATGCACGGGTTCCTGACCTACAGAAACTGGGAAAAAGTGCTCGTGTGGGGGAATTTCTTACCCGGCAAAGGTAACTGATACCCATGGCTTTCATTACCACGTCCCTCCAGAACTGCCCCTCGCCCACGTCCCTATCGTGTTTTCCGGGCTCTGTGATTCTCGGGCTCTGCCAGCCTCTCCAGCTGGTTCTTCCCAGGCTCCTCTGTTGGCTCCTCCTCCTCTGCTCCACCCCTTAATGTTGTCTGGTCCCAGGGCTCATTCCTGGGTCTTCTTTGCTTCTCCACACACAAGACCCCCGGATGATCTCACCCAGCCCCTGGTTGTAAACACCATGCAAATCAGCCTGTGAGTTCCCCATCGGAATCACCAGCCTGGCCCACCCCGGAGAAGTCAAGGCCCCTACATCCCAATGGCTACTGGGTGCCTAAATGGCCTCAAGCTCAACATACCTTCTCCGTCCTCCATCCCATCCACAACGTCTTTCTCCCAGGTGCTCAGTCCAAACTCCAGCTGTCAGCCTCATTTTCCCTCTGACTCTCGTAAGCACCCACCTGCCACCCAGGCCATCAGCGACCCTGGATGACCACACTCTTACTCCTACCTTCAATTTGCCACTCTGAATATTGTATCCCTTCCCTGATTCAACCTCCACAATCTTCACAGCATGCTTAAAATAAAATCTACGTAGGATTACAAAGCCCCCTGTTAGCTGATCCCTTACCTCCCCACTAGGCTGCTCCCTGCACTGCCCCCCTCCCAGCGGGCCCCGGCCACATAGGTCATCTTCTTCCTCATCCTCAAACAAGACAAGCTCATTCCCACATGCGGTTGGCACTGCCTATTGTCTGGGTGGGTCGTGGCCGGCTCCTCCCTGCTGCTCAGCTCTCAGCTCTGAGGCCACCACCTGAGAAAGCCTTCCTTGTCAAGCCGGGCCTTCTGATGCCAAGGGGCACCAAATACTACCGTGCACACCCTCCTCATTTATTCTCTGCAGAGCACACATCACTGTGAGGTGTTTTTCCTGTTGGATTATTTATGGCCAGCCCTGCCACCATTGTGTAGGCCCCACAGAGGAAGGCCCAGACCTTTCAGGCAGCTAAGAGGCTGGGCTCAGCCAGGACTCTCGGCTGCAGCCAAGGGGGAAGCAGAGAGGGTGGGAAAATGAGAAGAGGGAAAGGAGAGATTATTGAACCTCTTTCCTGCTGTTCAGTAGGCTGGAATTCTTCCTATTTCTCCCACTGGGCACTGGGTCTGTGTCCCCTTCCCTTGAATCTGGGGGACTGTCACTGCTTGACCCATAAAATATGGCAGACCTGATGCCACACAATATCCACACCCGGCCTTGAGAGATTGGCACTTCCCATTTCTCGGAAGGTTGGCTGGGGGGTCCCTGAGCCGCCACATGCAAAGCCCATCCACCCTGACAATGCCCCACATGTGGGTGCTGCAGCCAAGCACCCTGGCCAAGCCCAGCCTTTCAGGCACCCCTACCCAGGGCACCAGACCTTGGAACCTCCAGCCCAGCCCAGCCCCCAGCGTCAGTACCATAAGGAACAGCCAGGCCTTCTGGAATTTCTAACCCACAAGGTCATAAGACAGCAAAACAACTGTTTTTGTCATGCATTTGGGGTCATTTGTTATGCAGCAGTGGAAAACTGACAGGCCTGCCTGTCTGCTGTGCCCACTTGGAGGTGTCAGAGGCACCTTCGAAGTGACAGTGTCAGTGCAGAGCTCATGGTCTTCCTTCCACACGGAGCCCCTCCCAAGCCTGCCCTCTCCCAGTCCCCAGTCTCCATGAATAGCACCACTATCTACCCCGAGAAGCACGAGTCAGAACATCTCTCCCCTCACGTGCTACAACGTGGATGAAGCTGAAGGGCGTTATGCTCAGTGAGATAAGCCTGTCACAAGGGGACAAATACTGTATGATCCCCCGGATGTGAGGTCCACAGAGCCCTCAGACTTGCAGACAGTAAGATGGCATTGCCAGGAGCCAGGGTGGTGGGCATGGGAGTTGTTTAATGACCACGGAATATCAATTTTGCAAGACAAAAAGAGTTGCAGAGATGGGTGTACAACAACAGGAATGTACTTAAGCCTACCCAACTGTACACAAACATGGTTGAAATGCTAAAATTTATATTGTGTGCTTTTTACTACAATAAAAATTAAAAAGAAAAAAAACATGAATCAGATCCTGTCACTCCCAGCATAAAACCTTCAAAGGTTTCCTGCAGCATTTAGGGTTGAGCCCCAGCTGCGGCCGTCGCTTGTGAAGCCCTGGTGGGCTGCCCAGGCGCCCTCGCCCCTTGCTCCCCATGTTCTTCCAGGCACCTGCCCCTCCATCTCTTCAAGCCAGCCTTGCTTTGCATCTGTGCCTTCCCGTGCCTGTCCCTGTGCCCAGACTCCCCCCAGGCACCACCTGCCACTCTTTCCCCCAGAGGATGCCTTCCCTGACTCCATTTTTCCCTGCACCCTGAACGACCCTGTCACCACAGCCACCCCCTTTCCTGTGCAGTCCAGAGCTGCTCATCTCCCCACGTGGACGCGCACACAGGCACCTCCAGCTGCAACCTCAGTGCCAGCTCCTGGACCTGGAGAAGAGCAACACCTGTCCTTGGTCCTTTGTCACCCTGCGGGGTTAACTACCAGGTTTCAAAATGGCTCAGGGCATCCTAAGGCTTCACCCTGCAGTGATTTCCCCTTGTGGCTCCCTCACCAATGAACAGAGGCAGTGCCTGAGGGCCTCAGTGGGCACAGAGATGAAGGGGAGAAAACGTGTCCTGGGACGAGCCCCAGGCCTGGACTTTGGGTCCCAACAGACCATCAGCTGCCCCTTGATTCTGGTATCGCGAGCGGCGCTCTCCTCGTTCGCGCTGGTCTAAAAATGCCAGCCCAGTGTTTCACCTGGTGGTCAGGCAAAGAATCAGCACGGGGTTGGCTTTTCTGAACTTGCTGAGGAGAGATGTATTCCTCCCGTGGGGTGTATACAAAAGCAGTACGCTTTTGGGGGATTCTAGAAGCCACTCTGACTCTATATGCCTCTGAGCCCACACACCCCTCCTGCAACAGAGGCCTTGCATCAAGTGCAGAGTAACCAGCCAGTGGTTACTAAGCCTGATCTGTTGTCTTCCTGTTCAACACTTTTGTTCACTGCAGCACACAGAGTGCCTGGCACATGGCAGGTGCCCCATAAATGACTGACGAAAGAAGAGGGCCTGCCCAGAGTCAAACTCTTCTGGGGCCCCTTCTCCCCTCAGAGCTCCTCACAACTGTCTGCAGACCTGGAAGGGGACCCAGGTCGAGGCAACCCAGAGCAAGAATCAGGTTTGATTGGCAGACATATGGCATTTTGGCTTCAGATGGACCCTCCCAATGCTGTGGCTTTAGGGTAAGACCGAAAGCTGCAGCACCTGGGCACGCAGCACCTGAAATTAGGGGGAGGGAGCTGAAACACCAATGAGCCGGTGGAGAAACAGAGAGGCCCTGATGGGAGGGAGGCAGGTGGCCAAGAGCCACTACAGGGAGAGGGCGGGCAGGCTCCATGCCCTGGGGCGTCCCCACCGGTCCACCAGCCGCAGTGGCTGAGGCCTGTGTGGGGCCACAGGCGGTTTCCCTCTCCTTTTCACCAAGCCTTCCCATCCTTCTGTGTGTCTCTAAAACAAGTCCCAACAGCACACAGAGCTTTTGATTTCCTTTTCTCCTTCTCCTTCTCCATCACCACCGCTGCCCTGTTCAAGTTCCCATAATTTGCTATCTGGGCAGCTGCAGGGGCTTCTGTTCCATCTCCTTGCCTCTGATCTTACCCCTCCCAACCTTCCTGCATGCTGCTGCTAAGGGGATCACTCCGGGACTCAAATCTGAGCAGGTCCTCTATTGCCCTCAGCACAAAGATGAGACTCAGCCAGGCTTATAAGACCCACTCAAGCCAGATCCATATAACCGGCCCCTCCATCTGTTTCCCACTCCCCTGCTCTGCTTTACGTGTATGGAACCCATGCTAACTACTTGGTGCTCCCAAAATAGGCCATGGTGTCTTTTGCCTTTTTGCCTTCTAATGTGGTGTGCCTTGTCCCAAATGCTTTCCATCACCTTGACCACTTGGTAAACTCCCAACTGTTCCTTGAGGCTGCAGCAGACAATACTGAGTGACTGACCTTGCTGCCTTCCATCAAAAGTGAGGCTGGAAAGCAAAGAGTCCACTTCAGAAGCCTCCCTTGTAGCTAGGAGAGGCCATGTGAGAGACATTGCCTGGCACCAGTCTTTCCCTCCTTCTTCTGTCTTGAACCCAGATGTGATGCCTGGTGCTGCTGCAGCCACCTTATGACCATGTGGCAACAAGACCAATCAAGCATGGTTGAGCGGAAAGATGAACAGTGCCTGGATCCTTGGTAATAGGGTTTAGTTGCCAGATCAACTCCAAGCAGCCAACCACCAGAATTCTGGTCTTTAAGACTGAAGATACTGCTGGTCAAACTTCCTGTTATTTGCAGCCAAAAGCATTCCTAATTGAGACTGGGTCTCACCTCAAGCATCCCCTGCTCACTGAAGTCCCTCCCTGAATCCATGCTCCTACTACACTTTGCACATACCCCTATCCTTTCCTACCACTTGCCATAGTCACTGTATTCTATTTTTCCCTTGTCTCCCTCCCCCACTATACTGCAATCTTTTGGAGGAAAAAGATTGAGTCTTCTCACCTTTCACCTTTAGTTCCTGCCCCGCCCCTGGCACACAGCAGATATACTCAGTAAGTGGATTTGTGGAATATGCCTACATTCCAGCCTCACTTTTTAAATCTTACACCCGAATTATTTTGATTATAAGCTACTTCATTCCTTATTTGAAAAAGGCAAGGGAAATAGCCCAAGTAATCTTTTAAAATAAATAAATAACTTTATGCAGATTACCGAAATGTTGCAGAGGAACAAAAAGGCTGCAATATTCCTCAGGACTCGTCTCTTGGCATTGCCTTGCAAGAAATGGGGGCAGCAGACCAGGCCCCGGGCTCCTTTCCTGATCCTCTCCTTGCCCTCTTTGCCACAGCCTTCCCTCAGAGGCATATTACCATTGGCTGCAGGAGGCATCTCACTGCCCTGGAGGGCCACATCCCTGGCCACAGCTCCGCTCTTGAGGCAGGAAGAAGTGAGGGATGTGGCATTACCATTGCAGACTGTGACCACACGCAGGGCTCTGATGTCCTCAGAGAGCCTCTCTGGCTCTCGGTGAGTAGACTCGATGATGAAGAGATTCTGGATGTATTTCTCAACAATCACCAGGATGGAGTAGGGCAGGTTGTACCAGGTGTAGGGGGGGCAGGCTTCGGCACAGAGGATGGCCAGGATGGAGCCCCAGGAGATGAGCCAGGAGCCAGAGGCAGTGCCCACCAAGAGGTCCGCATCCAGCTTGCGGGCGGGATTTTTGGACTCATCCAATGATTTCTCATCTATCCTGTAAATCCGGATTCCAACCAGCCCTGCAGCCCCCATGAACGTCAGCAAGGTGATGGCATACAGGTAGAACATGGTGAGTGCCAACTCACTCTTGGGTTTGGAGCGCCCGATCTGAATCAGATATACCACCACGACCCCAATGGTGGCAGCCAGCACAGCCAGGCCCAGGACTGAGCCCACCACGACCCCATGAAACTTGAACTGCATCTTCCGATGCTGATGGCTGTCAACTCTGCGTCCAACATTTTTCCACAGGACGTAGAGCATCGTGGAAGCCAGGATCTGATACTCTATGTTGAAAGGGTAGAGGTAGTAGATCCCGTGTGAGATGGCAGAGCAGAGAGTCGGGGGGGTGCAATTACACGGAGGTGTGTGGTCATCTAACACTAGGGGCAAGAGGCAGACCACACAGGAGGGCGGTTAGTGCGTATGGGGAAAGTAGAAAAGCAGAAGAAATATTTTCACTCTGAAGTCACGCTTGGGTTTTCCCATTGAATTAAAAACTTTATTTCATGGCTTATCATCATGCTTTATATCATGGCAAAGTTGTCAGCCATGAATATTCCCAAGAGTGCTAATTACATGAATCATATTTTATCCAGACATCAGAATATTATACAGCCATGGGAAATGGTATTGTAGAAATTTCCTTAACCAACATATAAAGATATGCACAAGATATATGAATAAAAGCAGCTTGCCAATGAGGACAGACGATGACTCCATTTTTATAAATTATAGATATATAGATGAAAAGAAGATCTATAGACAGAAGAAGTCTAAAAGGACATAAACTAAAATGTTAACATTACTTCTGGGTGGAAAAATGACTGGTGAGTTTTCTTTTATGTAAAAGAAATATCTATTGTCTTTTTAACAGCTTTATTGAAATATAATTGACTACTGAAATATAATTGACTTACAAAATATAACATTTTGTAAGTTGAGATATACAGTGGGTTATTTTCTACTACATTGTGCTGCATTTTCTAAACTTTCTAAGAGAACATGACTTACATGTGTGATTTTAAAATTATTTATTTTAAATAACTTTGTGCAGGATTGGATTAAAGATGGCAGAATGAGAGGTGAGACAGAGGCTTCCTCCTAAAACTGCATATAATATGAAAATATAATTAATACAACTAATCCTGAGAGAGCAACAGGAAAGAGGACTGTACCAGACTGCACAGATCTGGGGAAAAGAATAAACCTCACAGAACAGGGTAACATACCAAAGCCATGGTCCAGTGGGACCCAAGCCTTCCCCCACCCCAGCTCACTGGCGGGAGGAAGAGAAACAGAGCAGAGAGGGAGTGGAGGCCTGGGACTGCTGAACACCTAGCTCTGGAGATTTGCTCTGGGAGCACAAACCTATATTTCAGGGTGCTCTCAAATTAGGGGGGTTAGAAAGCTAAGACAGGCAGAATACCTGAAGAGACTGAGATTCCAGCCACTTGTGGAAAGCAGGGATCCATATCTGGCTGCTTTGGGACCAAAGAAAGGTGGGCAGTCTGAGAGACTTCCTAACAGCGAGAGGGCTGCTAAAGGGTCAAGGATTGCACAGCTCAGGAGAAAGGACAGGTAGACAAAATTGTCCAGGTGCACTCTGCCCAGCAGGTTGTGAACTTTCACAGTCTTCAGGTGCTCCAGCCCCCTGGCTGGCTACACAGCTCCAAGGCCCCCACAATGATATGCAGCCTACTGCACCTTCCTCCCGGCCAGCCCCACCTGGCTCGCAAACCAGCAAACCCTACCCTGCATTAGGCCAGCCAGAGGGAAGCCCTGCCTACAGCAGCTACAAACAAAAAGCATAGAGGATTATACCTGTGTGCTCAGACTACTGGTTCTGGCAGTGGAGACAGACATAGCAGTTGAAAAGCAGGAAAAAGCTCTTTCCTCCCACCAGGCACCAACACTGCTCCCCTGTGACCCCCGACATTGCTTCAGGGGCTGAGCACCTCCAGAGAGTAGAGCTTCTGGGCACTAGAGGGCACCACATACAAATATGAAATGTTAAAGGAACCTGGTCCAAAGCAAAATTATAAATACACCAGAGGAAGAGTCAAATGAAATCAACCTCATGAATCTTCCTGAAAGAGATTTCAAAATAAAAATCTTTAACAAGCCAATGGAGGTACAGAAAAATATTCAAGAACTCAGGAATGAATTCCAGTTGGAGATCCATTCATTACAAAACACAGTGTCAGCAATGAAACATAAAATGGAAGGTTTTAAAAGCAGCTTAGATACAGTGGAGGAGACAATAAATGAAATAGAAATTAGAGAAGAGGAATACAAAGAAGCTGAGGCACAGAGATAAAAAAGGATCTCTAAGAATGAAAGAATATTGAGAGAACTGTGTGACCAATCCAAACAGAACAATATTCACATTATAGGGATATCAGAAGAAGAAGTAATGCTGAGGAGGTAATGCTGAAAACTTC